CAATATTCAAAGCTCTTTGTGTTTTGAGGTATCAATGAAGCAATTCATGTGATATAAAAGTCCCAAACAATTTGCTCTAGTTAGTTTGACTAAGAGATCCCGAGAAGCCAGGCAGGGGTGGCACTCGCCTTTGATCCTAGCACTTGGGAGGCAGAAGCAGGAAGATCTCTGTGATTTCCAGGCCAGGTTCCAAAGCTACAAAGAGAAACCCTGTCTTGAAAAAAACAAATAAAGCAGGGCATTGGTGTCGCATGCCTTTAATTCCAGCACTCGGGAGGTGGAGGCAGGCGGATCTCTGAGTTTGAGGCCAGCCTGGTCTCCAGAGCGAGTTCCAGGATAGGCTCCAAAGCTACACAGAGAAACCCTGTCTCGAAAAACCAAAACCAACCAACCAAACAAACAAAAAAACAAATAGGAAAAAAATGCACATTAATGACTTCCTGTACGACCATAGGTAGAGGCAGCTAGTTTTCATTTTGTGATACAGCTGCTGTTTTTATTTATGTAGCTCCCCCAACTTTCAGTAAGGCTTGTGATACACATCACACACTGACTGCATGCTGCCATCAGCAATTTCATTTAACCTTTGGGAACTTCACTATCACCCCGCACAAAGACAACAACGCATCCAAAAGTGCATCCCAAGAGGCCATTTCCCCCTGCACCTCACTGCTCACTACTCGGCATGAACGACTTTCCAAAGTTCCTTTGAGGCCCCGCAGCTTCATCTTACTCGCCTCCTCGTGCTTCACCACCCCCAGCTTCCTTCCGCTCTCAATCACGACAAGGTCTTACTTGTCTCACTAAATCCTCCTTGCCTCTTACAATAAACACTGGGTAGCTCTTACACATATCCTTGCCAACCGTACGTACAATGTGCATTTCTGGAGCCTTCTCCAGGGTTCATGAGGAGGAGACACCACATTGTGTTCACATTTGCACACAAGAGGCAGATGCAGTGCTGGTGCCTATGTGAACAGCGCTCAGCAGGCACTAAGACAGCAGGCACAAACCCGGAACACCAAAATAACAGAAACACACAGACTGGCATTGGGGTCCAGGCTGAAGATCTGAGAAGCAAAGCAGCCAAGCCACCAGAGAGCTCTTATCTCTACCAAGGCTGGGGCAATCTGGTCCTCAACACGGCTGGAGACTAATTGCCTGAGACTGAATGCCAGGTCTGAGACCCTGCTCCTGTCTTACATACAGCTCTAGTGCTGGGATTAAAGGCATAAGCTGTTTCTCTTTTTTGACTGATTCACAGAGATGTATCTGCCCCTGTCTCCTGAGTCCTGGGATTAAGTGTGCCATCACTGCCTGGCCTCTCAGGCTGTGGCTATGCTATTAGATCATAAACAATATATCACCTCACAAACCCAGTGGTGAATCACTTTATTATCTACCACCACATTCTCACAAAGGAACAGGGGGCCACTTTCACTTATCAATGTCCTCTGAGAACATAGTAAGAGTGATTAAGTTTACTGAGTCTTGACCCTTGGACATCTTTTTAGTATTCTCCAACAGGGCCAACAAGATGGCTCAACAGGTAAAGGTGTTTGCTGTGCAAGTCTGGAGATCCATGAGAAAGTGGAAGGAGATAAGACTCCCTGAAAGTTGCCCTTTGACCCTGACACACAAGCTCTGGCAGGTGCATTGCCACCACAGTAATAATAATAATAATAATTCTTCATGATGAAACAAGGTATCTGAATAAGCACTTCTGCTACACAGAAATATGACTGTTTCCAAGACAAGTATGGGATAACCAAGACACGTCTGCACCAGCTACTTTATCACATCTTTTTTACTTGGTAGAATGACAACAACCACTAGTTCAAATTTGGCAGGTTTTTGTTTTGTTTTAAGACATTAAGGAAACAAGATCTCAGCTGGGCACAACAGTATTCATGTAATTTTGGTACTTGGAGGAGGCAGGGAAGTTTACTGAAACTTGCAGGCTAGCCTGAGCTAAAATGCTATTTCCCTACTGTCTTCCCACCCTTTGGGTGGGGAAAGGAGTTCACCAAGTCAAGTAAAAACTGGTAGTGCAATGTCAAAATTCCAACTGTTAAGGAAGACATCAGAATTTTGAAAAGCTGCCTTCCCAACCCCCTGTTAGTGGTACTGGCGATTAACATAGGACCTAGAACATGCAAGGCAGATGCTCTACCAATGTTCCCGGCCTGTTTTTATTCTGGAGTTAACAAGGCCAGCCTTAAACTTGTGATCCTCCTCTCTTAGATTCCCAAGCAGCTGGGACTACAGGTCTGTACTATAAATTTCAGCCTGGAAAAGCATTATTGTTGTTGTTGTTGTTTTCCAGACAGGGTTTCTCAATGGCTCTAGGCTGGTCTGGAACTCAGAGAGACCCACCTGCTTCTGCCTCCCAAGTGCTGGGATTAGAGGTGTACGCCACCAATGCCAGGCTATTATTATATTTTAATGTATATGGAAGTTTTACCATTAGAGGGCATTAAATTCCCTTGGAACTAGGGTAATAGCCTGTTGTGAGCTACATGTGGGTGCTGGGACCTGGAACCTGGGTCAGTGTTTTTAAGCACTGAGCCATCTCTCCAGACCCTGGAAAAGCTTTCAACAGCACTTCTCTGTGGTTGGTCAGAGCAAACTATCTGCATACTAAATGTACCAACACACAGAAGATCTGTGTAACAGTGGACCAATGACCCAAGTTCTACAGCACAGACTCAACAATAAGACTGTGGACCTCACAAAGTACCCACCTAAGACTAACCACTGACAGGTGCCAGTGAGATGGGGCATAAAGACACTTTCTGACAAACTTATCCTCAGGATCCACATAGCAAAAAGAAAAAGCTATATGTATCCCATGTGTGTGATCTCAAATGAATATAACAGTAAAAGACACTGTTGGCTGCTACTTACAGAGGTTTAGTGCATACTGGAGATACACTACCATCTCAAAGAGCTATTAAAAATTCACCTCATACTGGAATGAAATCAAGAGCAGATGAAAACTCACTGTTTTTTTTTTGTTTGTTTGTTTGTTTGTTTGTTTGTTTGTTTCTGAGACAGGGTTTTTCTGTGACTTTGGAGGCTGTCCCAGCACTCACTCTGTAGACCAGGCTGGTCTCCAACTCACAGAGATCTGCCTGCTTCTGCCTCCCGAGTGCTGGGATTAAAGGTGTGCGCCACCACTGCCCGCCTGTTTTAAAACTTTTAAGATTCTTTCATGGGGGCTGGAGAGCTGGCTCAGGGGCTGAGAGCACTTACTGCTCTGACAGAGGACACAGGTTCATTTCCAAGCACCCACACAGTAGCTCATAATCATCCGCAAACTCCAGTCCCAGAGGACTGCCCTCTTCTTGTCTTAAAAACACCTGCATGCACACATGCAAAACATTCATACACAAAAGAAATCAATCTTAAAAAAAAAGTTCTTTCAAGTCTGAAAAGTACCCTATTAAAGTCTAGTTGATTTATGAGCAGAAATTGGCAACTTAGTCCTACACCCAAGGGGCTAAAAATAGGCAAAAAAATCTTGAAAAACCAAAGGCCTCAAAGATTCCTATGTCCCTGTTGACTGACACCACAGTAATGGGAAGGAGACTGTGGGCTGATGTGAGGAAACAACCAGCAGAAGTTCAGAAGCTCTCAAAACAAGCCCTGAAATCCACACACCTTTCATTTTCCACTAAGGAATTCAGTGAGGAATCAGCAGTCTTCTAACAGGCTGAGACAAGTTGTGCCCTTCTCTCACAGCACACATATTAACCTCGAGCAAGTCATGAACCTAAATGTAGGAGCTGAACATAAAACGTTCAGAAGGAACAGCATTCAAACTACACTGTTTGCTGTGAGCTCCCGGTTATGACATCAAAAGCAAAAAGTGGGAAAAGGAAACAGGTAAACTGGTCCTCAAGCAAGGTGCTGGGATCCGTCCTGAGGAGCAAGGGAAAAGGGGAAACACAATTTCACACCATAGATGGAAGAAACTGTTTATAAATCATATATACTCGGGGCTGGAGAGGTGGCTCAGGAGTTAAGAGCACTGCCCATTCTTCCAGAGGTCCTGAGTTCAATTCCCAGCGAACACATGGTGGCTCACAACCATCTGTTATGTAGTCTGGTGCCCTCTTCTGGACTGCAGGGATACATGCAGGCAGAACACTGTATACATAATAAATAAATAAATCTTAAAAAAAAAAAAAAAAAAAACAGCCTACTAGGATGGCTAAAACCAAGCAAAGTTAAGGATGGAGACAAATACCAAGCCTTATACACCATTGCCAGAAATTTAAAAAGGTTGAGGAAAAGTTTGACAGTTCTCAAAATGTCAAACAGTTATACCACATGTCCCAGCAATTTCATCCTAGGAAACAACCAGGAGAAATGAAAACACAGCCATGTTTTATAGGAATATTTAACACCATTATTTCCAACAGCCAAGAAACAGAAACAACTCATATATCTAACAGGAAAATGTAGTAAACTCTTTTATTAATGGAATATTATTCAGCCACAAACAAGAACAAGGTATTGTTTTATATGCAATATGGATGAAGCTTAGAAATAGGCTAAATAGCCGGGCATTGGTGGCGCACGCCTTTAATCCCAGCACTCGGGAAGCAGAGGCAGGTGGATCTCTGTGAGTTCGAGGCCAGCCTGGTCTCCAGAGTGAGTGCCAGGATAGGCTCCAAAGCTACACAGAGAAACCCTGTCTCGAACCCCCCCCCCCAAAAGGAAATAGGCTAAATGAAAGATGTCAGTCACAAAGTCATTTACATGAAATGTCCAGAGTAAGTAAGGCAAATTAGTGGTTGTCAGGGGCTGAGTGTTGAGAACTAACTGCTATGAGCACAGGATTTTTTGGTATATATGGATATTTAAAACATGGTCATCAAAATTGGATCCCCAGAACTCATGTGGTGGAAACAAAGAACAACTCCCACAAGCTGTCCCCTGACCTCCACATGCCTGACGCAACATGCTCTTCCAACAAATTAATGAAACAGTAAGTACTCACTTCAACAGCACATGCACTAAAACTGGAACCACACAGAGATTAGCATGGTCCCTACAAGGATGACACATACATTCATGAAGTGTTCCACAATTAAAAAAAAAAAGTTATAATGTTTGGCCATACAAAATCAGATTCACAACTGTGAGCTGTGCCTATTCTCTTACAGAACAATGAATAGGACTGATAAAGCATCACAAAAGTGGCCACTATTGGTTGGACTACCCTGCTCAGGCACATGCTACTAAGTACACATTAATTTATACATTGTTAGGTTTTGTAATGGCAAGTAGTGTTTAAACCACAATGTTCTCTCTCTCTCTCTCCTCCCTCCCCCCCCCTCTGTGTGTGTGTGTGTGTGTGTGTGTGTGTGTGTGTGTGTGTGTGTGTGTGTGTCACACACACACAGAGGGCAGAAAAAAGGTTAGGTGTTCTCTTCTATTATTCTCCACTGAAACTGGAGATCTCCATTTTTTAGATAGGCAGGTAGCCAGCAAGCCCTAGCTATCCTCCTGTCTCTGTCCCCCAAAGCACACTGCCTTGTGTCCAGCTTTTTACATGGGTTCTGGGATTTAAACTCAGGACCTCATAGTTGCAAAGAAAACACCCTTACTTATTGAGTTATCCTCCCAGGCCTCACCACAATTTCTTAATAGATTATGTCAGAAAAGGACAAGATAAGATAATTTAACAGGACGGAATCCAGTGCAATTGTGATCTATTGGAAACTATTTAAATGATACCTTTCCCTATAAGACTCCAACAGCACTGGGTGTGTTCTGACAAGGTAATTCATTTACTCTCAGTGAACTGCTAGTCACTAAACCATGGCCTTTTCATTTTATAAACTTTCACATTCCTATGATCCCAATCCTCTTACCAATATAAGAGGGTTACACTAGGCATATAAGTTTTTGGAAAAATGGTGTAATGACAAACCATATCACTAAAACACTCTGGAAGATATTCCAGAGAAAGACTACCAGATTGAAGACACTTTACTTTCCCAGCGTTTTGATTGGCTCCTGCTATTAAGGACTCCTCAGCTCTAGGAGCAACAATGCACCATGAGGAAGCTACATGTGGCCACCACCCAAATGAACACAAGGGACCTCCCTAAAAGCTAGGTGACACATGTCTTTAAAAACTTCCCTACTTCAAACACCAGGAAAAGACCAAGGAGGTAAGCTGCACAATTTTCACTTTTGGTAGGTTTATCAATGTTTCAACAAATGGAAGTTTGAAAGCCTAATAATAAAGTTATTACTAAAGTTTTAAATAATAAGTTTTTACTAAAGGCAAACTTAAAAATCTGTGGCGTGGTCATGTAACAATGCACGGCTTCTAGACCAGCCTATTTCTGTTTTATCATCAATCAACACAACTGCTTTGAAACACACACTCACACACACACACACACACACACACACACACACACACTCACTCACTCACTCACTCACTCACTCACTCTAGAAATGCTGAAATTTCTATACTTTGGCATCAAACACATTTCTAACTTCTGAGAAGTCTGAATAGTGGGCAATTCCCGGAAGAGTGGCTAGCGAGTGCAATTATGCTGGCAAAAGGCCAAGGACTCCTCTGCAAAGAATCCAGAAACTAGAAAATATTCCTGCTTTTATGAGAGTAAACTAAAGTCAAATGCAACACTGGGAGTAACACAGCCCCCTTCATAGTGTCTTTTACTTTAATCATTGCACTTGAAAACAACCTTTGAGAAAACAGTAGGATATGGAAATACGACACACTAAGAGCATTGAAAATAGGTCTACAGTTCTCTGTCCCTCGGCAGGCTAGCACTACACTAACAAAGAGAGGCCTAGAGTAAATGTTTGTGAAGAAAAAGCTGAGGGCACACCTATCTCAGCCCTGGCGGGGCTTTCACTGGATACCAGCCTGGGCTACAAAGTGAGTCCAGGACCACCTGGGTTACATAAGATTGTGTTTAAAAAAAAAAAAAAATCAGAATGATTTTCTATTGGACATAAGTTCTTCAGCAAAGGAGACAAAACACTAGACTTATTTAAACCCATTGCCATTTCAAACGTTTCAAGAGGAGAATAAAATCCAGACCTTTAGAAAATAGGTAGCCCAGCCACTTGTGACTTATGCCTTGCTCATTCAGGATTGCTATCTTCAACGAGTTGGCACCCTGTATATTTATCTGATTAGAGGGTGCTCAACCAAGACCCAGGTCTTGTCACGGTCCCGTTCTCCAAATCTGAAGGGAATTCAGAAAGCAAGCAACAGTATGGTGATGCAGACAACCAACGTGAGACCAGGAGTTCCTCACTGCTGCTTAGAAAGTGGTCTCAGAGACACTGAAACCTCATTTTTGCACGTTAACGCTAAGGTTGCAATTGTTAAGCAGTTTAGTAGTCCTGCACGGTGCATGAGTCAGTTACCTTTCCACTCCGGGCACCCCACCCCACCCCCATCTCACACTGTCTCTCATCTTCCATTCCCTCCCCGAAAGGTTTTCTCCAGCTCTTAAGGCAGAGGTGGTGAAAGGATGAGTAAGCAGGCAGAGACGTATCTTGGGCAAAGAGCACAGACCCTGGCAGCAGCGGTGGAAAGCCTAACGGGGAGTCCGTCCAGTGGGGAAGGCTTTCCTAGGGGTAGTTACTGCCACCTCGTTCGTAATCAGACTCCAACCCACTCCACCTCCCGCTTGCTTCGCCACTCCCCGGCGGTTCCCTGTGTCAAGTGCATTTTCTGGAGACAGTTAACACCTTTCAGACAGCACTTACAGATGAAGGTGATATTCTCAGGTTTCGGTCGGTCAAAGACAATGAAGCCTCACCCTGCAGCAATGGCTGGGTTCAAACGTTCCGTTTCACGAGATGGGACCGAATACTACCCGTCTCTGACACCGTGATCACTCCCCACCCGACCCAGGCCCACCTCTCTATTCGGCAAAAAGGTGACTGCTAGGAGCAACTTCTAACGTGTGTCAGTCGCGTGGCGCTGGGGAAACAAAAGGTTCCCTGCATTACTTTAACAGCCTGGCTCCGAGTGCCTGGCCTTGTTTCTCCCCAAAGAAAAAAAATAGGACACTGAGAG